TGAAATTTTTAGGAAGAAAATACAGGGGAACGTGAGAGTAAGAAAGATCACGCCGATTGTTTACACTCACCTACACTCCACTCGTTCACGCGTTGTTTACCGCGAGTTATATGCCCAGGGATCTTTAAGGAAATCAACGCGATTACGAGATCGAGATTTTTCAGAGAATCTAAGAAAAAAATCGAACGTTTTTCCTCGACGGTCGAACACTTTCGAAAGTTGTGAAAAATCAATTTGTCAAATCTTGTGTCAACGATGAGACTGCGAAGGCGAACGAGCGCGTTGCTTGCGACGCGCGGAACGAAAGTACTCGACGAGATCCGCGCCGCATGCTTTCGCGCCAGCGCTCGCGATACTGTTCTGCCGTCGAGTACTTTCTGACGGATCCACCTGGGGCACCTCAGGCTCGAGTCTAGCAGGTGAGGCGCCCCAGAGAATGCGTGGTGAACCGCGCCTGGGACAACTTCTTCCAACGCAGCCTCGCCGGAAAGACAAATATAGAATTCGGCGCATCGTGACGCCGAATCTTTTCGGTTCATGAATTATGGACTCGCTCGTCTTTCCCGTGGTTTCCTAAAAAGGAACGTTTCCATCAGACGCGCGTTAAGTGGACCAGCTCGCCCATGAAAGCGCGAATAGTAATCGCGAGAGTTGCAGAATAAGAACGCAAACATGTGACTGGATAATTTATCGCAAAATTTCCGCGTACTTCTTGCAATATTTCTGGTAAACTCTTTTTTTTTTTTTTTTTTAGAATTTCATAACGATAATAAAGGCTGGTCATTTTGTATTTGGAAGAGTACAAAGACAAGAGTATTTTTCTATTATATTATTAATCGTAATAATAGACCCCGAACAAACTCGGATTTAATTCTTCAGTCAATTATCGCATTATTACATTACAAGAACTACTCGAACGTCAACTGAGGATATTTTCTATGTGCATAAAAACATGAATTTATTTTACACACTTTAAAAGTGTATGAAAAGAGTGTATTAATACCATTCCATGTATACCTGTACTTTAAACTTGCACAGACCTTGAATTAAATATAGTTTGTCGATAGGCAAGCCAATAATTTTTCCATTTAACTAATTCTATTTATTATTTAGAAAGAATTTTAATTTATAAATATTATTAGCACATAATTGGTTTCCTACTGTTTTTATATTTAAATCGCATAAATAAATCGCGCAAAAAAAAAAACCGGATATTTTCAGCGTATTCGTTATTTTATTAGCTTTAGTTTTAGTGTCTAAGGAAGGAACGTAGGAAAGAATTTTTTACAAACGAAACGGTTTCGCTAGCTTATGCCGAGACTGTCGGAAGGGAGCATTGAATAGTAGGAGGTGAGGATCGGCGCGGCGGGGCGAAGCCACTGTAAACAACAGGCACGTACGCGACAACCGAGTACACGCCCGAATGGGCAAACACCGTGTATCTTTACCACAATGGCGTTCGTCCAATCGGAGATATCGCTGCGTGAGAGACGGAGATTAACGTCCCATTAACCCATTAAAGCGCGCGATCGCCTTGAGACCTTTCCGAAGCGCGCTCTGTTACGGAATATTTACGCCAACATCTTTTATTATTTTCAGAATGAGCCGAAACTAAAGAGCGTCGAAAAAGCAGCAAGTATCTAAAAGCAAAAAACGTAGCGTGTGCGATTGCAAATATCATACTCGGAAAGTCATATGAACAGAATCGAGGAATTCTTTTTGCGAGAACAATTAATTATTCTTAATTCCCGATATCACAATAAACGGTAAGCATAAAAAATACGTATCGTAAAGAGAGAGAGAGAGAGAGAGAGAGAGAGAGAGAGAGAGAATTGTTATATAGATTCAGCATTTTGAGATCGACTCGTCCTCTCAAGCATGACATATTATAAACTATATAGTATAGACAGATACATTATTATATAAGCAGAAAATAAAAAGTTGGCTATAAAAGCCTTACAATATTCAAAAATTTATATGGCGTGGTGTGTAAGAGCGTTATCTTACTTTACTACATATCCGATTTGAAATTTTTATTATAATGCCGTATAACTTAATTTGTATATATTTTAAAAGATAATAAAATTGTACTGTCAAGTAATAAATGTGTTCTACCTGACATTTTACGGAGCTGACGACGCTGGTCTATTACGGACCAACCTAAATATAAATCTCTTTGTCAAAAATATCAAGCAACTCAATTTTCTTTATATCTGCAAATTTGGATTATTAAAATATACTTATTTTCAGCCTTTTTTATACGAATTATTATTTTGATGCTTTGAAATTAATTAATGCCTTTTAATTAACATCACTGGTGACCCACGTTGAATTTTCCGTTTTATATATTTTACCATTTGATATTTTGACTAAAAAGAACATAATATTATAAAATAACTTTCAATATTATTTTTTTGTAATTTTTTAAACCATTATGAAATACATATTATTTAACAAATATAATAAACACAAACAAAAATATCGTGATTCTCGCGGTGATATAAAAAAATCACTTAAAACTGGCATGGAATGTGTTAACATAAATAAATCTTATACGATAACTATGTTACAGATTTTGACAGATTGTTACAGATGTTACAGGATTTACTTGCTTTCTCGAATTATAGTGCAAACGATCCGAAAAAGTTTCTTGATTTAATCGCATAACTTCCTACCACGAGGTCTCACAAATATTCGCGCATTTTCAATGAGGTGTCTCCGAACGGCGCTGTCGTGATAAGCAAGTAGTATTTTTCGATCGCGTAAATGTACATTTTTAGAAATTCATTCTTAGCGCTCGAGGTCGTTAATATGCAAATGTATACATTCCGGTCGAGCTCCTTATACCGCACATCCGATTCGGCATGTACATAGTGATTCATTCGCGCAATCAAAATACAGGTTCCTTCGTGAACCAGCGTATTCTCGCACAGCGAGCTGATGCCGCGTGCAAGGTCAACCTGAAATGGCGACGGCCGATCACTCCCGATGATTAATTAACAGAGCAAGAGAACATCATTGGAGTCCCCTCTCGTTTTCGTAAATCGCTCGAGATCCATCAGACGTCCACATTACAACAGCAATTACGACAGCACGAGCGAATGAGTCAACGATACGCCGATCTGCTCTATTTGTCGTCAATAGTATTCCGAGATTGTTGCTGTTATTAGTTCTTTGAACGATCGCTCAACTATGGTTATTATGCCGGTTTATTTCTCGCGTCACCGGAGATTACGTGATACGTAACAACTGTCTCTTTCTGGCCGATTGTAAGCCCCGATCTGTAATAGGTATAGTAAAGTCTATCTTTCGCTTTAAGCTTTGAATTGTGATGTGAATTTACTGTAAGCTCTAAATTTTACAATCTCTAATCGTCTTACAGATTATGGCTTATATAAGGTAGCGCTAAAAATGCTTTCTGTCAGAAAAACAAACACAATTCAGCTTAGCAGAGCTTAACAAAAGATTAACAAAAGATAAACTTCTTTGGTAAATCTTTTTCTCAGAATTTTTTATGTAAATTTTAAAATTTTTTACAAATTTTAAATAACTTTGTAACTTTTTAGAAAATTTCTCAGATTTTTTAATACATATTGGATCACTCTTTAGAAATGTCTAAACAATTTTTGATATATGTGAATTTTAAAACGTTCTCAGATTTCGAAGAGATTCTTTCTGAAGAAATTTTGTAAAATCTGAAATAGTTTAAAATATTTTTTTAGAAATTGTAAAAGGATGGGAAATCTTGAAATATTAGAAATCTTTCAGAAAATATTTCAGAATTCACATATATAAAAAATTCTAAAGAAAGATGTAGACTTCCTTTGTATTTTTTAAATACAAAGAATGTGTTTCAATTCGTATAAAAATTCTGAGAAAAAAAATTTCAGCAAGATTGCTACAGCTATTGTAGATCAGGATTAATCGCAAGCGTGTTTAAATCACTCGATGTTTACCAGCCATCACTCGTTTTATCTCTGTTTTACTGCAACTGCATCGAAAAGTAGAGAGAAATCTATGCAAGATTAATTGAACTGAAGCATTATTCACGGATTATTATTCAATAAATTTTCATCGATTCGTTCATTGAGCGGAGTACAGCCAGTAAGTGATCGGTGCTAATATGTATATGCAAAAGTCACGATAATATCGAAATGTGTTCGCTATATCACGCCATTCATATAAATCAACAATAGAAAGCTCGACAATCGTATGAAAAGTATCTATTACACACCGTTCTCCCCGTCTACGATCATAATTTTCTCGCTTTCCTTGACGGCAATCTGATTCCGCGCAGCCGCAGCGAATTGTGCAAGTAGATCGAGAAGTTATCGAGACCTTGGGACCAAAACACGCGCATTAATCTCGGCGCTAATGCATAATACGATATATCCGAGGAAACGGGGTCAATGTCAATATATGCTGAATGCTGCGAGCGTGTTAAATCACCGTTGCGAGATTTCTGACGGATCTTTAAATTCAGATTAGTCTCATTCGCGTGATCAACTCATCTCGAATATCAGTGGCACGATCTCGCGCGCGCGCGCGCGCGCGTGTGTGTGTGTGTGTGTGTGTGTGAATGTAGATTCCTTAGTAGAAACTTAATCCTTTGCGGTCCAAACTATTTCTCGCAATGAATGAAGTATCTCAAGTATTTCATCCTCAATTTCAACCTGGCTGGTCTAACATGAATCGAAGATCGAATCAAAGAATTATTTTTATCATTTGGAGAAATTTATAGAGACTCTAAAAATATTTAAAAAAAATTGAGTTACTATGACCGCATACATATTCTCATAGAATGGAAGAAGAATAATGTATATCATAACTATTGCAACGTATATAATTAATCGGAGAGTTGTCTTATTCTTTTTACTAACAGTAAAATGTAAAAAAGCCCATCAGAGCCTACATCAGCTATTCGGATGCACAGAAATTCTTTATTTTTCGTGTGAATGTAACAAAACAAATAAAATGTATGTTTCAACCTTTCAGTTCGGGTCCTTATTGATATAAAATATAAATCGAAATTACATAAATAACGCAAATTCCAAGTTGATGTTTCCCGACAAATTAATTCGTTCTTCTTTGTCCAAATGCCAAATTAGCTATGTAATGAATAGCCCAATGATTATCAGAAATATTACGTTATACAATAATAATATAAAACTTACATAAAGTAAAACCGAAGTCGTATACATTGCGTCACTACGTAGAATCACGTCGCTCATCAGATTGTCAGATTTGCTGTGTAGCCAAAAGAAACACGAAACGAAAATTAGAGAATTATTAAAATCATTTGTCTGAATTTTTTATTATGTATCCACTTACGTAAGCATTTTCTCGCAGCTTCACGTAAAGGACTTGCGGTGTCGACAGTATCAGAGATACAATGAAAATCAAAATAATAAAGTGAAGTAGTTATTGAAATCAAAATAAAACTAAGAACAAAAGAGGGTAATATCAACGTCACAATTCCGTAAACAAATTCATGTATAGTGGGTCCAAAGAATATGTATCATTCTGTAAATTCAAACTCTGTTTCTGTTGCTTTATATGGATCGCTTCCGAAATCAATCTTTTATTAAGTATTTTTTCTTCGTCTAATATCTTGACATTTTCCCAATCAAAATCATGCTGTTGACTGATTATTACAGAATGCTGTGTAGTGTTTCAATTTATGTGATTTTTATGTTCATTTATGCGTGTCTTCAAACATCTACCTGTTTGGCCCACATATGCTTCACAATCTCGACAATCAATCTTATTATCTACAACGTCTGTATGAGATAGCGTGGGACGAACGTCTTTATGACCTCATCTTTTTATTAAACGGTCACCCGAAGTGTTTTAATTAAGAATCTTTTTTTTCATTTATTTAACATCGCGAGAGCTATGAAATCAACTTTGTGTTCGACGTCGTCGTCCTGTCAGTTTGGGCACGTCTTTCCGGGCACGTCGGATACGTACGTAGGAGAGTCTAGAAGTCGCGACGGGTTTTACCTATATGGATTTGAAAACGTACCGACCATCACCAAAACCGGCCACGCGGAATGGGTGCGGATCGCGGAATAGCGACGAGACGCGCTCTCGCAAAAGCGTAATTGCTCTCGCGAACTGGTTCAAAGGAGGCGCGCCTCTCCCAGGTGCGGCCTGACCGCGACGATGCGAGGAGATGCGGCCGATGTGGCGATGTGACGTCACCGGTCCGGTTTGCGCGTCCAATGTCCTCGTTCGTCATTTTATAAGGATACGAGCCTACCGTTCAGCGACTGCGAGATCGTCATACGAGAATAATCTTTGCGTTGCCTTCGTATAACGATTGCATCCTTTCTATTTTTGCGCTCTGCAAGTGCATATCTCTTCTACTTTTAACGCTGCATCGGAATCTCGAAAGAAAGCGAAAGATTATTTTGGATACCGTAGCGAACGTTAAAAAATTAAGAAGACATTATTCGTCTATCATTAAACCTATTGTTGCTTCCCAATTATAGAATGACACAACACTGAGAGAAATAATTTTGTTGTAGGAACAAACCAAGGGAAAACAAACGTGATATTTGTTTAAAAAAACAATCGATTTGTTACGATTGCAAATTAATTCGTCAATGTAACAAATAATCAATAGTATCGCTAACAAATAAGAGAAACTGATCAAGCACAGTCAAATATAGGGAGAATACTTGATTAGACTTTTATATATATATATATATATATATATATATATATATAAATCTAGTTCAACATATTTGTAGTAATATATTTTATACATATCGACAGTATATAACATCGCTAAAGGACACAGTTGTATTTATGTAACCTATTTTGAGATTATCTTGTAAATAATTATCATAGATTATATAACGTAATAAGGAAATATATATATCTTTGTTTTTCTAAACTACCTTCAAAATTATGTAACATCTACATATCATCATAATCATAAAGTATATCATATTGTTCTCTTCAGAAGCTTCCTAAGTTATGTTACAGTTACGTGTTGATTTGCTGGGAAGTAGTAAGGCGACATTAAATGACGTTTTAATAGCATCTTCAACGTCAACGAGGTGTCATTAAAACGTCGACTTACTACTTGAGTTACGAGTAGTTGTTTTTTAACGAAATTATTCATGTATTTTTGTTACCCCAAAATTATATCACAATTTTCATTGTTACTTTATAATTTAATTAAGCAATAAAGATTAATAATATTTTATGTATAATACTCTTTAAATGAAGACAAACGTAAATCTTTTATTAAATTAATTTTTAATTTCAATTTTGTAATTAAAACATTTTAAATATATTTTGAAAGTTGAAGAGTTCAAACACTCCATACGAATAATGAAGGATTGATTATAAAATTATCATCACATCTTCTCTCCCGTCCGTGTTCGCTGAGAAAGAAGGCATAAACAACGCGACCTAAAAACGTCTGCTTGCCGTTAAAATTTTCGCGTTGCGATTCAAAATCGATGGAAGCGAGCATTGAGCAGGCGTTAAACTGGCCAAACGTACTCTCGTTAATTCACGGAAGACGTTAATAGCCGCTCGCTGCGGTAGATTCGCGCCGTACGGTTCTCTCGTTTCCCATTCTTGGCACGATCGTATCAAAATTACGCGCCGTGCTGCGCATCGAAAATCGATACCACTCGCGCAAGGTAAGTGCCGACACCTAGCGGCGAGAATTCCTATCGTAAGAAACGTAGAGGACGCTGCGCCTCATCTCGCAGGTCGATTCCCGGCGTTCCTCCTAGGGAAAAAACGAAAGGTATCTAGCCGTCTAGAGGGCGGAATGTTAAAGTCGAGTGCCATGAAGGAGAAGGGCTAGGAAGGGAGAGGAGCTAAAGAACCGATGAGGAAGAGAAGAGGAGAGAGAGAGAGCGAAGCTCGGCACCGTGGCGAGAGCCACGACCCCAGACGAGAAGACCGTACGGCGATTCTCTGTTCCGCTTGTGTAACGTATGTATACCGTTTGTGTTGGTGTTACGTGCGTCTAAGTGTGTGTGTGTGTGTGTGTGTGTGTATGCGTATGCGTGTATGGCGCGCGTATACGTGTGTACATTTATGCACCGTCTGTCCGAGCGTACGCCATATTCCTTCGGTGGCGCGACAGAGACAGAGGATCAAGAGGATAAGGGCTAGTCGCGGACGGATGACAGAAATGCATAGCCGTCGTGCGAGTGCGAGGATCAGCGCCGAACGTGGACAGTTTCGGCAAAATCGTCTTGTAATTCGTACGTAATACGGGGAACGGTGTGTGGTGCCTTTTCGCCGTGGATATCATCAGTGAATATATCACGACTCTCTCGCTCCGTCTCTATCCCACAACCTCTCCTCCCCCCCCCTCTCTGTTTCTCTCTCGCTCGTCGACTCGTCTCTCCGTCTATTCTCCTCACGACGACGACACCGTACCCACGGTAACTTAACCCCGGTGTGTATTTAACGTGTAATATACGTTCACGGAGATAACGACGATGCGCCAGCGACGGCGCTCGTCACGCGTCATCGTCCCGTGACACGACGCGGTGGCGACGACGACGACGACGACGACGGCGACGACGACGAAGACGACGTCGTCGACGTCCGTCAACGGTGTGTTGCCGTGATACGTGCGCGTTTCGCCAGGCTCGCCACGCACGGCGGCGAGGGGAAGTGCAGAAGGTGTGCACGGAACGGAAGACGAGAGTTCAGTCAGTCAGTCAGTCAGTCAAGTAGAGGACAGGAGCGAAGACACGGGACACGCTCCGGTCTCCGGCGGGCCAAAGGCAGGTCGGCGCGCGGCCATTTTTACACCGTTTACACCGTCGTGCGATGCGGCAACCGTGCGTGCGATTCGTTCGATCCGCCATTCCAAACAATCGGTGCGCTACGTGCAGTCCTCGCAGGATGCGTCGGCGACGATAGGCGCTCCGCTTCGCGTCGCGTCACGCTGCGCTGCAGTCAGTCGGTTCAGTTGAACGGACGGACGGACGGACAGACAGACGCACGTACGCACGCATGCACGCACGCAACACGCATGCACGCACGCACGCACGCACGGCACGCATAAGACACGCACTGCCCCGCATACGGCGTGAAAAAGAAGGAAAGAAAGAAAGAGAGTGAGTGAGAGAGAGAAAGAGGAACGACGTGACGTCGCGAAGACGAGAGGACGACGGCCCGTGGGCCGCCGGCGGTGGCAGTAGTGGTGCTGGAGGTGTCTGCGCTTGGACGACGTCGTCGCCTCGCGCACGAACGTCGACGACGTTGGCGACGACGGTGGCGAGGAGGAAGAGGTGGAAGCGTGGTGGCGAAGAAGAAGGAGAAGAAGAAGAGGAAGGAAAGAGAGATCGCGCGGCGATAACGTGAGGAGGATGATAACGGCGCCCGCGTACACCACCGCCGCCGCGACGTGGACGGCTACGACCACGACCTCGTCGACGACGAAGACGAAGAAAAAGACGAGGTCGAAACGGGAGGAAACGAAAGTCCCGTACGAACAATCCAGCTGCGTTTATACGTTCAGCCCCGTGAGCTCCGTGTGCTCCGTACGTGCCTGTGATTCCCAGTGGTGTTTACCGATGGCTATTAAGCCCGTAGTGCGTTAAAACCCTCTCGTCGATCTCTTCGGTGTGTGTGCGTGCGCGTGTAACCAATAAAATAACGTCGGATAACAGTGCGCTACCGTGAGAGACCGTTGTACTACTTCCTCGGCTTTCCAGCGCGTGCTTTGGACCCAAAAAAAAGAGCGTGTACTTGTCTCGCTCGTGTATTCGCGAGAGTGCTCCATCTCGATATAATACAGTGTACACCGCTGTCATTTTCTATCTCCCTCCCTAACGCGCCGCGTTCTCGTTCGCTCGCTCTCGCCTTCTCTCCGTCCCTCTTTCTCCCTCTCTCTCTCTCTCTCTCTCTCTCTCTCCTCCCCGTCTCGTCTGTCCCGTCTGTCCGACTTGGGTGCGTGTTTCTCGCGTGCCTCCTCGCCACACACGCACCCGGACTCTCTCTCCTCTTCCTCGACCACCGCGCGCGATCGATGTGACATCGCGCCGTGCCGTTAAACCGTGCTCTCTCTCTCTCTCTCTTTCTCGTGCTATCGCGATATCCGCGACTAACGCGTCGCGCCACGACGTGGAGACCAGAGAGCCGAGAAGACTCGTTCGACGAGACGCACAAGAGGAAATATATATATATATATATATACATATATATATATATACATATACGGGGGATCGAGTGAAGAGTGTGCGTGCGACAGTGCGTACTGCGTGCCGACGGCAACGTCTCCGTGAGTGCGTATCCCGAGGCAGCACAGTGTGGTGCTGCTGCTGGTGCTGCTGCTGCTCTCTCTCTCCTAACTCCTCTCTGCCCTGTCCCTTCCCCGTCTCCCTCTACCCGCACCATCTTTGCCTCTCGCCCCTCCAGTGCCCTGCGCCCCGTCGTCGTCCGCACGTCGTCTTCCTTTCTTCTCCCCTCGCTTCGCTTCCCTCTCGCTCCTCCCTGCCTCGGTTTTTCTTTTCCCTCGCTCCCGTCTCTCCTCCCATCGGTTGAGACGACGACTGTAGAGAATGCACGAGAACGCTGCCACGACCATCGCTGCTGTCGTCTGCTCCCTGTCGTGTGCTCCCTTTGTCGTTGTCATCATCGCTGCCGCCTACCCTCGCGCCGTCCACGTCGTCGTATGTTGATCGTGGTATCGCCGCGCGGCGAGTGATCGCGACGACCCTCGAGTGAGGTAAAAGTGTCGTGTGTGCGTGGAGATAGTTTGGTGATCTCCGCTTGTGAAGATGGAGATCGAGGCGAAGCAGCGTAGCCAGAAGAATCGGCGACGGGAGCGGGCGCAGCGCATGCTGGCGCAGAGGGAGAGCCTGGCCACCGCGAAGCAGCAACAGTCGCAGCAGTCGCGACAACGGCCGCCGAACGACGAGGAGGACAGCCACAGCGGTGAGGACGAGGACCCCGCCGGCGGTGGCGTCGGTGGCGGTGGCGGAGGCGGCGGCGGTGGTGGTGGTGGTGGCGGTGGTGGCGGCGGTGGTGGTGGCGGTGGTGGCGGCGGCGGCGGCTGTGGTGGTGGCGGCGGCGGCGGCGGCCTCGGACTCGCCGCCAAGACCGGTCATCCACGGGACGGCCACTCACGACCGCCCAGGCCACCGCGACCCCCGAGGCCGCGCAAGAAGTCTTCCCTCGCGGCCGCCAACCAGAAGGAGCCACCTTTCGAGGAGGACATTATCGACGGATTCGCCATCCTCGCCTTCCGCTCCTACGAGGAACTCGAGGTGAGCGACGGACCGGAACGTTCGTTCGTTTATCACTTATTTTTCATTTTCTGTCTTTCTCTCGCCCGAACGAGATCCGCGCGATCGGATCTCTATAGAGATGAGGTGGAGCGTAAAGGAAAATCGGAACGTATTCGTCGTCTCCGGATGTGTACTCGCCATAACCTAAAAATATATAACCTAGAGATAACCTACAAATCCTCCCTGCTCGGCTCTTGTTTGTCTTTCGATCCTTTCCCAAATTCGGTTCTTTCGGATTAGGGTATAAATACGGATTTTCTGCGAGTCACGTATCCGAAGATTATATTCAGAAATAGAAAGTTGGAAATACATGTATATAAACTCGAACAGAGAGAGAGAGAGAGAGAAAAGAGAGAAAGAAAGAGTCTATGCTACTCCAGGAGACCAACAGGATATTGGATTATTTAATCGATTCGTAATACTTCGATTGTCTAAAGAATTCGGATAGAATACAAGTCCTAAGGGATTATATTGTTCAACTTTGATTTATTTGCCAAGTCCTACAATCTTTGTCTCATCGATTCTCTCTATCGAAACTAAAGATTTTCTACTTCTCGAAGTGACAGTAACCATTTGAATTATACGACCGTCGACAAATAGTATTCTTGGTTTATCTTGCCTCATTAATCATTCCAGATTTACTGTGCATTTGTGTGCATACTGTCATTGTAGCACAATATGGAAGAGTATATTTCAGAAATATTTACAAATTATCCTTGAATCACTATTATAAATTAAGAAATCCATTTTAGAATTATCTCTTTTACTTGCAATTAGAAAAATGTATATAAAGAAAATTGGGGAAAATTCGGATTTTAACGTTTTTCATTTGGAACAAAATGAAAACAGTTAAGTTAAAGACCGGCAATAGAAACAGCAAATAAAATGTCAATCTATTGAAAACTTTGTATTCTGTGCTATACAATTTCTTGATAGGTTGAATGATCTTTATTCTCTGCTTCTGTTGCCTGTGCTTTTCGATTGTGTCTCAGGCTTTATGCCGTATGGATAAAGAGATTTCTCTAAAGCTTTGAAAAGCACAGGCAAATAGTTGTACCGTCTCAAGTATGTCATATTGTACGTATAGCGTCTTATTTGGTCAACGTTTTTAAAAAAATGTTTTCTTTTCGATGGGAAAGGTCGTCACGCTGGTCCCTCTTAATCTGCGGCTTCACGCATTTTGTGTCGCTGTGTTTTATGTATATTTACGATCTCGTCGCCGGGAGATTTTTAATGAATCGTGTTTACCAGCCAGGGGTCATTGAAAAAAATATTACATGATAGGCCAACCGTGAATGTATTGTAGATAACTTTAAAAATTATTTCAACAGTTTCTTTCACCTCTTTTTATAATTCTAATTATAATTTTTTCTATAAAGCAGAATGATTACTTTAATTACTTAATATGAATATGTATAAAAGAAGAGATTTATTTAATTCACAACTTCTCGAATATCAGAAATTCTATTAAAAGTAATTCAATATATCCGATAAGTTTATTCAATTAATTCAAATAAGTTTGCCAAGTGTATTTGAAATTTATATGCGGCATACAAGATTAATTGGAAAATAATAATCAATTGATTTCTAATTAATTGAGATAACATAAATTAAATTCATTTAAAGTATTGACGGTGCAAGTCAGTGGTTCTCAAATCTCCACGAGCCCAATAAGTATCAGTGTATCGTCGTCTAAAATAAACGTAACACGACAGCCTCGTGTTAATTAATAAAATCTCGGTGGCGTATATATACTTTAATTACGGAAAAAACGTGGACAATTAGTGTCGTATGCAGAAGAGTTTCGTAATTGGGCGAGTAAGAGTCACTGGCGCAGATAAATGGAGCGGGCCATAAAGTCGCTAATATGAAAAAGATTATAAGAGAAACGTACATATATATATATATAT